GAGGAGGGGGGCACCCATTGAAGACACAACAATTGATCCTTGATCTCTTAGCTGTGTGCGGTGCCCCCCTCCACCATAATCCACCTCGGGCATATCGTAGCGGTGCTTAGGCGAAGCTCTGCGTCGGTAGCTTCATCAACACCGTCACCACGCCGTCGTGCTGACGAAGCTCTTCCCGGAAGCTCTACCGGATCGTAAATTCGCGGGACGTCAATGAGCTGAACGTGTGCTGAACGCGGAGGTGTCGTACGTTCAGTACTGAGGATCGGTCGATCGTGAAGACGTACGACTACATCAACCACGTTGTCATAACGCTTCCGCTTACGGTCTACGGGGGTATGTAGATGACACTCTCCCCTCTCGTTGATATGCATCACCATGATCTTGCATGTGCGTAGGATTTTTTTTGAAATTACTACGTTCCCCAACAGACTGGGTTAACCACACCAAGACACCAACTGGCGCGTCTACTTCCACTACTTAAAGCAAAGTAAGCGAAGGGGGGAGGCATCGAGAGGATCAGGCACGGACGAACAACGGCTTTTTCTCCTTTTATTTTCCTTTCTTCTTCCTCGAGAACTATCTAGCAAATATGTGATTTGTGTGAACTAGAGACGGTGTATATGTGAGTGATTAGATTGAGTTGGTACCTAATGCTGGCATAGGCCGGCACGGGTGGAGGAGGGATGAAAGGGGCGTGTCGTGGACGTGGCCGCCATGGACACCGTCGTCCTTCACTCCTTCAGTTGCAGTTATGTCATGTATGCCGCCAACAACTTGTCATAGTCTTGCACCACCGCCAAGTAGTCTCCTCCCTCGCCGGTAATCAGAACTTAAGAGCTCACAGGGAAGGGAGAGGTGTGGATCTTGATTTTTGCCGAAGATCTGGAGGAGGGCTGTCGAGGACGAGAATGGAGGAGTGGCGGCGGCATCCATCGTTTTTTCATGGTTAACCAGTGGCCATGGATTTGGGATGGATTTGAGATATAACTGCTACGCTACACAAAGATTGGACTGGGTATGCTCATGTTGTGAGTTTCATGTGCGTTTAGAAGTGCTAAATAGCTACATGGGCCTAATATTTGACCATCGTGCCCACTTTGGGTCTTGCTAGCCCCCATCTTCATGTCGGATCGTGCCACCTGTTCTGTCAATTTTGAGTTCCAGCACGGCATATGATTCATGTGGTGCTAGCCTGGCCCACTAGTTCTTGTGTCATTCCGTGCCTTCTAGTCGTGCTTTGGGCTAGCCTAAAATGGCCTGGCCCAAGTCTCAACATTAGTTCTAGATGGATGGGGGAGTCCGAGGTTGAGTGACGAGTGAACTCATTGAAATTGGAGTGTTCATTAAAACGAGTGAAATTTGATGGAGTGGATAGCTCACCAGCAACTCCATTTTACAGGGCAGTAGAGATAAAGTTGTAGATCAAACAAACTGATTTTTTTGTCTTTTCATAAATTAATCTAGCGAGCTATTTCTTTCATAATGTTCGTTGCCAACGATCTGAGGGTGTAACATAGTCGAGGTTGAATCTAAAGGATCTACTGCTGGATAAATACCCTTGGAAGCTGATCCTCTGGAAAGTACGGTAGTAGCATCCAAATGTGCAAATGTTGTGGCAGGGGCGCGATTCATAATGGAAAAGAACATATACCTATTTACATAACAAACCCTATGGTAGGTCGCAAATTGGGGGAATTCATGCCTACTCGGCATTTAACGAGTTATGAAGTCATTAATAACTTGATTATTTTTAGATAATAGTAGATAGAAAGAACGCTCGTAAGGAGTCCTATTGAAACCAAGAAATATAGGCCTGCTTGCCATCCACACCAGAATAGATAGAGTTTTCAGAAGAAACCTGCTAGTGGAGGAAGGCCTCTTGTTTCGAGAAAGATATCGTCCGATTCTCCTTCTATTGATTCTTTTCCGATCGAGATGTACGGATCCATGTGTCTACATACATAGATTCTGTTCATGGATTAACGAAAATGTGCAAGAGCTCTATTTGCCTCCCATTTAAGGAAAAAGAATTTCACGTTCTTCCTGAAAGGAAGGGAAGATTAGGAAAGTCCTATTGATTGCTGCTTTCTCCAGTCCCAGTGTTATATTACTAAAATCTCCTTTTGGTGGAGAAGGGTGGATTGTTAGTGTAGACGATTTAGAAGATACAATGGGTGGACATGTATGGTTGGGTTTTATTTGTGTATTTGGCGGAATTTGGCATATTTTAAACCAGCCAATGGTTCGTATCACTCTATGGTTGAGGGACCTTCTCGGTTCAAAGCTAACAAATAGGTCTCATGTTGGCATTCAATCGCTAAGAGCAGCCAACAACTTAACTTGCAGGCTTATCAATACACAAATGTATAACTCCCCAGGAATTTCAATTGCGTTTATATCCATCACTGTAGGACTTGGGTTTAAGCTTTCCCCAGCCCCTTTTCATCAATGGACCCATGACGTCTACGAAGGAGTGTGGTTCGTTCGACAAATTTTCCTACCTCTATATCTATCTCTGAGGTGTTTGGGTTTTGCAAAACTCCATAGACATGCAGAAGAGAAATGCTATCCCCACTCCGACAAAGAAAAGAAATTGGAATTTTTACTTCAATTTTTCTATAAAATTGTTTCCGATTCACCAAACCAAAAGTAACCATCATTCCTTTTTCTGACGAATCACGTAATCCTCCAAGTTCACGAACTAATAAGGTTATAAAATGAATCATAATCACAATTGAAATCGTTGAGAAAGTGCCTCGAAAAAACAATACTTGCTGGGAACAATAGTATCACAACAGAGCCTTCAGTTAAGTATTTCTCTTAACTTTGGGCCTAATGTTTGACCATCGTGCCCACTTTGGGTCTTGCTGGCCCCCATCTCCATGTCGTCGTGCCCCCCTTTCCGTCAATTTTGATTCCCAGCACAGCAGATGATTCATGTGGTGCCAACCTGGCCCGTTAGCTCTCGTGTGGACGGTCGTGCTTCTAGTCGTGCTTTGGGCTAGCCTAAAATGGCCCGGCCCAAGTGTGGATGGGCGAGATCGAGGTGGAGTGACGAGCGAGCTCATTGAAATTGAAGTGTTCAATAAAACGGATGAAATTTGGTGGAGTGGAAAGCTCACCAGCAACTCCATTTTACAAGACGGTAGAGAAAAAATTGTAGAACAAACAAACCGTTAATTTTTTTCATAAATGAATTTGGCGAGGTTTTTCATTAAGAAAGAAACAATGCTATACAGTAATCTAGAAAAACTTGCGCGAAATCGCCCCTCCACAAGGTTTACCACCAACCAACCAACCCCTGTTCATCCTCAACATCCTTTGGGCCGACCTGGACACACGCTCGCAGTCGCCGTGGAAAGGAAAGGAACGGGCCACCCACGGCACGCACGCACAGCCGCTGCTCCACGTGACCCTGACGGAGACGGACCCATCCACATCCACATCAAACTAGATAGCACTCCTCCTCAGCTCACCCCGTCGGGGACACCGGAATTTCGCGGCACCCGAACCACCACGCACGTCCCCGCGGGAACCCCCGTACGTGGCCGGGAAACACTCCTAGCATCGCCCGACCACCGCCACCACCACGAAACTCTTCACCAGCGGGACGGCACTTGGTACGTACTACGTCGAGCCAGCAGGGTGACCTGCCTCACCCCTACCAATTCTCCCAAAAAGGTCTGAACTTGCTCACGGCTGAGGTCCAACCACGACACGCCCGTGCGTTTCGCGTGCACCGCCGTGCCGTGCCGCCGCCGCCGCCCCGGCGACCGTCCTACGTTTACGCGGTCGTATCCAAGACTTCCGTTGCCTGCCGTCGCGACACCACCAAACACACGCCACACACCACAGGTAGTAGTACCACGACTACCCAAACCAAAGACGAAGTTGGACCAATGGAGATTTGGCATCCCCATCGCCTTGGCTTCTCCCAGGCTGCAATAATAATAGGGTCCTGGGTTCCCACCCACCAGACCCAACCCACCACCACACCACACCACATCACCACCCCAAGGGGAGGGTAGGGTTAGCCCATCCCTCGCTCTCTTCCTCCCTCCCTCGCCTCACCTCAGCCCCCCAAGAAGCTGAGAAGAGCTGCGCAGCCG